TACCCATGGCAGGCAGTTGGAACAAGGTGGTCTTTAAGGTCCCTTCTGACCCAAACCATTCTGTGATTCTATGACTTCTGTCCCTCCTTATTGCAGGGGGTTGGACTAGGTGATCTTTAAGGTCCCTTCCAACTCAAACTATTGATTCCAGGATTCTGGGATTGAATCTGCTGCATAGTTCTTGTTGGAAGAAAAGCCACCAAGGACACCTCAATTAGGTGGTTACACTGGGGCATACATGCTCTGCCTCCATGGATGGAAGTGGTCCTGTGAAAGGAACATGGGGCCCAGTGCCAGGTAGGAATTCCATGTTATGTTGTCTCCTGCCAGCTCTAGACAGCTTCCAGTAAGAGAGCTGGGTCATGTGGTTATGTGAACATACCCCAGTACATATGGACTCCCCCTGTGGTTTGGGTGTACCAGAAAGACAACACGGGAATTGGTGTCCACATTTGGGCACCTCCCTGGGAATTCTGGTCAAAAACCACTTCAAGAAAACTGGATCTGGACCAGCTTGTCCTATATCACCTGATGTTTGTACTGGGAATGTAAATTATGCTCCTTCCCTCTTTCATCACACCTTGTGTTCCCGCAGCACCCCGGGGGTGTGTTCTGGCAGGGTTTGCTGGGAAATACTCTGAAACTCTGGAAGGAAGGAGGACTCAGCCATGAGCTCTCAGAAACCCGTGGTCTTTTGTGACTGAGAGCTTGCTGGATACACTCACTACATTTTTAACAACGAGACCATTGGCAGAACTTTCTAAAATCATTGGTTTCCTGCACCAGAAAACAAAGAGAGCCAAACCCTTTCCATTGAGTTGCTGTCGATTGTTCTTGTTTCTTGCTTTGCTACAGGAAGCACTAGAAGCCAATATCTTTAAGAACTGGGATCCAAGCAGCTTTCTCACATCTCCTTGATGTTTTGTTCAGATCAAGTTATATAAAATGTTTTTCAAATTCTGGTCAAATTTACCATTAGGAACAATTCCCGTTATTCATTCATTCAACATTTTCCTTTGTTTAATATAATGGGAGTTCTCTGAAATTTCTTTTTATGCCAATCAAAAAATGTCTTTCCTTTCCTAGTGGTTTACAGCCCTCATATACATGCAGACAGTTATCATATCCTCTCTTAGTCATAATTTGGCCAACTTAACCATATTTAGATATTTTAATCTTTTCTCGTAAGTCAGTTCCCTTTTGGCCCTTCATTATTTTTATTACTTTTTTATTATTATTATTTTGCTTTTTCCTTTCCTCCTCCCTCCCAGAGCTCTCTCTGTGTTGTTGATACCTTGCTGAGGTTCTCTGAATGGAAGAGCATTAAAAAAATTAGAGGATCACCATTAGCACACTTTGGAAAACTCTTCTCTCTCTGGTTGATTCAGCTTCATCTCTCTTTTTGGAGTCCCCATAAATGACCAGTTTTCCAGTGCCATATCCTACAGCCAGCAGAGATCAGATGTGCTCCCCTTTGATAGTCACAAACACCTCTGCATGCACATAGACCTTTTCTGCTCGAGGTGACTTAGCCTGACTTGTTGAGGGTTTGCCAATAATTCAGCTCCAGTGTTTTTCCCAAGTGTTTCCATCCATCTGCAAACTCAAAGCACATTTTGTTTGCTGTTTCTTCCACTTTATTAATGAAGAAATTAGATAAAGTCGGGCTTAGCGCATTTTCCTCTCCAAGTAGCACCTCCTTCATCTCCTCAAACCTGACATGTCAAAATTTATCTTACTTTATGGTATTTCAGCCAACACAGAGACCACAGGCAAGTTTCTCTATCCAGGCCAGATTGAGTCAATCTTTCAAATAATATTTTATGAGATTATCAAACGCTTCACTAAAACACAGATATATTTGCCCAGAAACCATCAGAGCTGTTTCAATCTTCCTTGCCAGGAAGTTAAAGTTGGAGTAGCTGGTTACAAGATTGTGAATATCTCTTATGGAGGTCTTCTGCTAGTTTAGAGCCAAAGGCAGTGCTTTTAAACTAACTTTGTCCCCTGCTAAAACTCTCTGAGTTCCAGCTGCTGTATCACCACCCCAGAGTTGTTTAGTAGGAGGAGGAAATCCAGGCATAACTCCTTGACTGGAGAGATCTGAGCATTGCTCCTGTGATATTCAGATGCAAAGCCAAAGTGGGCCTGGGCACCACATCACCCTTGTTGGTGTCCTGCTGTGCCTTAGCTAAACCCCCTTGTGTCTTGGTTGCTCTGCACAGCTCTGTGGTGCCAAGACTGGCAGAGGGAATTGGTGTCCACCCATGTGGATGTGCCCCTACAGCACCTGTGGGTTGCTCTGGGTCACCTTAACCCAGGCCAAAAAAATGAAGAACTGGGAAAGGAGAAGCCCAAGACCTGAGGCCACTCTGTGTTGGTTTGTCATCACCTGACTTAATAGTTAACATTATGATTACATTTAAGAGAGAACATAAGGAATGCATTTGTCTGGAATTACTTATCACTTGGAAGTCTAGGCTCCCAAGAAGATATGAACAGCTTTAGCAGGTCAGGCTGGAAGCCCATACCAAATAACCTCCTATCTGCAACAGTAGAGAGAGCCCAGGAAGGAGCACAAATGTAGGTCAGATCTGCAGCAATACTTCCCCCAAAATACTTGCCCAACCTAGAGTGGTTTCTGGCTCAGGCACTTTCTGAACCAGACTTGGAGTCTTTCTGTTTAATACAAAACCCAGATGGATTTTAAAAACCTCTGATGAGTTTTTCTTTCATGAATGTATCCAGTAAACTTCTTGCAGTCCCAGTATCCTGTGGCAAGGACTTCCACAAGATGATGAAGCACAGTGTCAAGGATTACTCCTTCTTGGTTTAAACTGCCAGCTACCAGCTTCATTTCATGCTTCTGAGTTGTTGTATTAGAAGAAAAACCATCAAACAGCTGCTTGCTATTCTCTCCTTGTCATTCACAATTCCTGAGAACTCCATCGTATCCTCTCAGTCATCTCTTTTCTGGCTGAAGACACATAGCCTATTTAATGGTTCTCACACTGAAGACCAAGTCTTTAATTACCCTTGGTGCCATCCTCTAAGCCTCTAAGCCTCAGTTTGACTGGTTCCTTTAGTAGCTGGAATATTTCAGGTATTCCAGGTGGAGATACACCAAAGGTTTATAAAATAACACCTTCTCTCTTTCTCTCTCTCTCTCTTTTTCTCCCCCTCCCCTTCATTCCTGTCTTGAGAGCTACAAATGCAACCTATTTCACAGGATAATTACTATCATAGATCTAACTATTCTCAGCTATTAGAGTTAGTTTAGAGTGTAAGAGAATCAGTTTAGAGGATTTCCAGTATGGTCTCCCCATGCACATAATTTGACATTTCTCTATCCTGCATTTTAGCTGATGTTTTCTCACTCAGACATATACTTCCAGATGAATTTTTGGCATCTGATCACAGTCAACTTTTATCTTTTGCCCCTGAATAATTAAGTCCTATCATCAGGGTGGACTCATCAGTCTGTCTCCTTTCTCATATCAAGACTTCTCAATTCTTCCCTGGTTTGACACTAGATTCTAATCTATCTGTCGAGTGGAGTGACCCACACAGAACTATGTCATTAGTGACTGCTGAAATGTCTTGGAAAGCATCTTTCCCTCCTAGGATGAGTGATGTGGGAAGAGAAGTAGAAATAAAATTCCTCTTATTCCTGGAAATAAATGACAATTGTTCCTAAAGTCTGCAGACGTCTGGCTATTACATCATCCTGGGCTCTGGTGTTTTTAGCTAACAGTCCCTCAACAAAGGAGATGCATTTCCTTCAAGGAACTTCACCATTTACACATCTGATACTAATTCTTACTGGGCCAAAACAAGAATAGGCACAAGTGATTTTTTCAGTTTATGTTTACTTTTTCCCAGGCCACAAAACACCCATTGACTGTGAAGCTTAGATTTGCTGCATAACAAATGCCTGCTTTCATAATAAGTTATTAAAGCTGTTTCAGAAATAACAGCACGAGAATCTGCAGATGCTGACCTAAGGGGAAAAAAAATACAAGCAACATTCAGCTTTTATTTGATTATTTATTAAATATTTATCACAGTATCTGAGAACTGAAGAAATTTCATTCTGCCCAGCTGGTCATTCTGAGATTTTGAAGTCAGCAAAAAGATGGCAAAAGGGATTTCTTGTTCCTTCTGGGAGTTATAAATCACACTTTGAGACTGCAATTTGGTTCTTTGCTCCCGTTTCCCCATCTCTGAGACAGGGAAGAAGTTTCTTTACTCACATGGGAGAGAGCTTTAATTCAGGAAGTGTTGTGGAAAACACAGAAATCTGGATTGTCACTGGCCCTGCCAAAAGTTGTTGGTTATAAATAAAATGAGCCAGGAGAAAATCCTTAGTCCTGGGGCATCAGGACTTGTAGCCCTTGGATGGTTCCTGGGATCCAGGCATTGCCTTGGAGCACCACTCAGATCCAAATGTTCCCCACCTTTCTCATCAGTCAGTGCAGATTTTCTTGAGGGGCAGTGGCTGAGCAAATATGCACAGAAAGGAATATTTGGGCCAGAAAAGGGAATTAAAGGGGATGTTGATTACAATCTAAATATTTCCCCCTTTGAAGTGAGCAGGTCTGTGTTTGGGCAGGATCAGATACTCTTTTCTCACAGTTTGAGGCACATCATGAGTTATTTTGTGTTCTTGCTGTTGGGAACATGATTTCATTGCAGCCTATTGCAAAGGGCTAACTGAGGTAAAGGGCAGGGAAGGTGTTGGGATACAGATGCCCTGTGCTCACAGCCCACTCTCTGGCTGGAAAATCCCTATATTGTGCTATAACACAGCTATCTTCCAGTGCAACTGTTGGGTGGGGAGAACAGGAGGGTCAGGAGATTACCAGGGTAATTCTCTCTGCCACGCACAACCCCTCCTTGATCATTTGTTGAGTTTGAGAAGCTGAGATTTGAGCTTTATTCCTGCCTGAGAGGTCTTTATTCTTTCCCTTTCTCCATATTCAGGAGGGTAATAAAGTCAGGAAACGTGAGGAATCTGGTCAATGCTGTATTCCAGCCCTGCCACACATTCCAGTGCCCTGCATTTAAAGAGTGTATTTTGGAAATCAGCCTCCTTTTTTTTCCTACCATTTATTCCAATTCTCATACTTTTCCTAAGCATCTGTTACAGGGAGAAGTCAGTGGGTGTCAGTGTCATTCAGGATCAGGCCGGGACAAGCAGGGCTCTCCTACGTCAGAGCTTTCCAGACCTTTACCACATTTGGATGCAGCGTGGAGTCAGAGATCTGGAATGAATTGCTCTTCCACATCTTCTTTTTGTGTCACTGAGATAGAAAACAGAAAGCATCAGCTCGCAATAAATTCCCAGATGTGCTAAGTAACACACAATGGAGGTCCTTTCAGCAAACTGTCAGAAGGAGGAGACTTCACTGGGAGTAGGAAAGGGCAGCTGCCTCTCTGCCGAGTTTTGGGCTTTACAGCTGCTCCCCAACCTATTACAACCTCATTTATCCACTTCAGCCCCGTCCCCTGTCTTGCCTCTGCTGCAGACCAGGGCTGTGTGAAGGATAAGGAGCTTCATCCTCTCCGGGGGTGCTGGAGCTGTGATAACAACCCCAGTGCTGAGGGCAATTTTGGAGAGTTTAAGGGTTTTGGTAGATCACAGAATCACAGAATATTCCAAAAGGATCATCGAGTCCAACTCCTGGCCCTGCACAGGACCATCCCCAAGCATCACACTGAAAAAGCTCGTGCAGGAACCATTTTCTTAGCTACAAAAAAATCAGATATTTGGCATTTTGTGAGTTGCCACCCTCCAGAAAGAACATCATGGCTGGGTCAGGATCAAGACAAAAGGAAGAAAAATGACATACCTATGGCTCCAAGCCTGCAGGAAGCATTTCCATACCACGTTGAACACTTGGCTGGTCTGCCCTCAACAGAGCTACAAAAAGATGTTTTTCATGGCCAGAGATGGTTTTCTTCTGAATATGAAAACTCAGATATGAAAAGGCCTTTATTTACAAGTGTTGATGCAGAGAGATTTGCAAACTGCATCCCTGAGCCAGCAAAGATTTCTCTGTGGGAGTGGGAGTAGAGTGGGAAGTCAGTGGTACAGGGTATTGGGAATGATCCACCACACTTTGGCTCTGCCACTTCTGGTCTCTTTTGCACTCTTTGCACTGGGCCCCTGAGAATTTTGCCTGCACAAATGCATAGAAAGAACTGAAATTAAGTAGAATCCAGCTTTTCACTTATCCCATGCAAGCTTGATCCTTAACCATCTCTTTCAATGTTTTTTTGGGATGGCTCACATAACTTGGGAAGTTATGGGGAACAGATCAGATGATGAGAATCACCTGCTCCCCTTACACAAGCAGTGATAAGACCCTCCATGTACCCCCAGCTGTCCAGGCTGGCAAAGCTCAGAAGATTTCTGGGCTCAAAAACTTCATTATCTGTAGCATGTGCAAATAACTGCACCCACTGATCCTTTCTTGGCACATTCAAACAAGAGTCGCATTTTTAAAGTTTTCTGTCAGAAAAATGATCCGAAGGAGGTTCCTTTTACGAGTGAAAGTCCACAACATGAGCCTTGCCCCAATTATTCCTACATACTGGGACGACAAATGTGTCTAGCTGGGAGCCTTGCCACTTCCCTCCTTTCCATGGAGAAATAAGGGAAAGGTTGAGAACCGAGGTTGTGAATCCCTGCTGTACCCCTGGAAAGTAATAATAGCAGCATCAGTAATAGCTCTTAAATCAGGAGGACTTGCTGCAGCCTGGCTCCCACGAGCTTTGCATGACAGCCCTGAGCGTTCACGGGAATGACATGTTCCCAGCAAGAACATTCTCATTTGCATTATGGCAGGACATGGAGACCCAAGTTAGATTTTAAGTGTTGAGCAAACCTGATGTGACAACATAGTCCTTGTTTCCATACCCTGTTTAGACTAAGCTGACCCTTTTCAAACCCTCCTCCCTGCTCCCAATGAAAGCTTTGTGGAAAGGCTCACGCAACGCGATGAAGGAAAAGTATAAAAGCAAGAGAGAAAAGGAGGCAAAAAGCATTTGAACCTTCACTGACTCCAGAAATTCCTGCAAGCCCTCAGACTTCTCCATTTTCTAATTGAGGTAACGAGATTACAGGCTACTCTGTTAATTACTGAAATGTGGAATGGACTCATATATGAGTAATGACGTTGTCTATTTTTGAAAAATAGTAAAATCAGAGACAGGTTAAAATTTTTTTTATATTTTTCTACACAGACACTACTTTAAAGCACATTGTTTTATTAACACAAGGCTGACACACTGTGTTGGCCACAAAGCCACTGATCAGGCCAAAATACATGGAGGAAAATATCATTATCAGACCAAACTACACTCTCCGACTACAATCTAAACTACTCCGTGGTAACTATGCCTGATTTTGCAAAATGATTAAATTCATGTTCTCATGAAAGTTCAACCTCCAATTTGTAAGGAGTCCAGCGTTCTGCTCCAGATCCCTTTGCAGGAGATAGAAATGCTCATTAAATTCAACATGCCTTGGATCAGGCTCCAATCTGGAGTTCACATATGTACAACCCACAGAAACAATCTCAGTGGTTTATTTCTATCCTCGTGCAGGTAAAAACTGAAAAGTAAGGAAGGTGATCTTTTCCCAGCAAATAGAAAAATAAGGAGAAAACTATATACTAATAGAATAACATTAATTCTCCTTGTGGAATGAGCATTTCGAATCAGAGGAACAATTTACTGTACCTAATGATTTCAGGAGCACAAATCCCACAGGAGATAATAGGACTTCACTTTACGTGCAGTTACACACTTTTAAAAATGCTTCCTCTAATTACAAAGCTGTTATTATGGGTCCAACGTGTGCATATTAGGCATACACGGAGGAAGGATAACATGCTATACTCACTAAATCAGCCAGAAAACATGCATTTTCAAGAAATAATTCAACGTGTTTTCTTTGTGTTCAGCTTGAAGGTTACTTAGGTCTTAACTACAGGAAATTATAAGTAAGATTATTTTTTCTAGGGTTTTTTTTTTTTGTAAAACTAAATAGAAAATTAAGATATATATCTTTTTCTTCAAGAACTATGCCATTAAATATAGTGATGTACAAATTACAGACAATTAAAAGTAGATTTATAGTAAAATATGAATATAAGATATAATGAAATTAGTTTCTACTGTTCATAAATAAGTACGATGTAATATATAAAATAGTTTTCACTATTAATGATTTTTAAAAATACTGCACTGTGATTTTAAAATGGAACTGATATCTGCAACCTTGGCAAGAATAGAATCCCTTTATTAGTGTTTGTATCAATATAATGCACTGGTTTTAAATGTTATTTTGTACTGAGAAGAATATTTTATGAAGTTAAATTTCTATACATGTTGTGGCTGTTAATGTGTTCCACGATTTACGACCGATTTTGGTTTTCAGATCAGGGCTTGTGTGTTTCAGAGAAATATTTTGCCAACGTTGTTATTCCCTTCTAAAATTCCATTTCAATGGTAATGTATTTTTAAAGAGTGAAGCTCGAGAACAGAAATAGCACATATTTTTTGAAAACTATACAACCTTGTATAGTTTTCATATACAGCCTAACATTCATCATCATCTCCCTGCTGCTTTAGAACCACTAATGTTATTATTCCCTTCTTTTATTTTTTTTCTTTTTTTTTGCTAGGTAGAAATATTAATGAGATATCATTTCCCTGCTTTTGTAAAAATCTCTCTCATGTTGCTTGTTGGATAAAAACCCAAAAGCCGGTGAGCAGCGAGACCACACTCGGACTTGCAGCTCCGTAAACTCACAAAACACGCTTCTCATTTCACCCTTGTTCCCTGCCTTTGCTTTAAGCTGCCCCCAAATTTCAGCAGCAAAAATTCTCCCCATCCCCGTCCGTTCCCCATCAAAGGAACCAATACCTTATAACAGAGGCAGGTTGGAAAAAAAGAAAAAAACACAAACAACCAACCGGGCAAACTGATTAAACAGCGGCGAAAAAAACCGCTCTTAGACATCAGATTTCCTGAGCTTTTTCCCCTCTCTCGCTGCACTACTTACTTGTAATTATGTCTGGGGCCATTCCTTCCTATTCCACAGGATAAACTGGAATATACTGCTCGGCAGTTTTGTCTCGAGCTCTTTAAACACTAGAGACCTTATAAGCAAACAACCCTTTTTTTTCTGCCTGTTATGAAATTTTAATGATCTTCCAGGGCTCTCAAAATCAAACCAACTTTCTTCCCTCCCCCTGCCCCAACAACTTGGCTCCTTTGTACCTTTTGTTTCAGAACTGTGCCCAAACTAAATATACCAAACCAGGAGGGATCTATAGCTTTAAAATAGGGGTTAAAGTGGCCCTTGTTTTCCTGCGTGTCTTCTCGTTCCTGGTAAACTGTGGGATTTTGCTTGGGGAGCGTTGGAAAAAGCAGATTGGGGAGTGGAAACTGGATCAGAGGTGGACAGAGAGTCCTCAAAAGGGGTTTCATGGAGGGGATGAGGGTGCCAGCGCCAGTGTATGCCAAACAGCTTTGTGATGGATGTGTTTATCCTTAAAACTAAGGTCCCATTCAACGCTGCCATGGCCGGGATTGGGAAGGCGGGCGGCGGGAGAAGTGCTGGGCGAACACGGGGGGTGTGTTAAGGCGCCTTGTTTGAGCACTCCCTGAAGTGCCAGGGCAACAGTTTGTATTAAAGGTGATTTGTGGACCTTAAGGACCACTGTAAAGGACCCCAAAAGGGTTTTATTTTGGTGAGAGAGAGGACAACCTCCCTCCACAGCCTTCCCCACCTCAGGGCACCGCTGGACTCAAAGGACTGCAATGTACAAGGAGCTACGAGGTGACGAGAAATGCTGTAAAATAAGTAAAATCCTGGCTAGTCCCTGTTGCTGGAATGCATTTTCTCGGCTCAGTGCTTATCTGGAGATCATGGGTACTGCCCTAAACTCTGCCTAAGTCACCTTTGCTGCTCTTTTGATCCCCTTCACCTCAATAACTCCAAATTCATAGTATTTGACTCCTCTGTAACACCTCCTGCTCCCAGTCCTGCACTGCTCAGTCATAGGTGGAAATTACAGCCTTTCTGAATGTTCCCTAATTTATGCCAAGTGCTTTTGGTCAGTTTGGAGAGAGCTGGCTGGGAATCCTTAAAATGCTGGTTTGTATCCCTGAAATACAGCAAACAGCCATTACAAGTGGAGTTAACAGGTTGTAGCTCAAATTCCACTTCAAAATTTGATGTGTGGAGAGCACCAGAACAAAACATGACCTGACTGGAGCCCTCTCTGC